ATTGATTTCAGAAAGAGGAAGGGAGAGGGAGAGAGAGAGAAACATCAATGATGAGAGAGTCATTGATCGGCTGCCTCCTGCACGCGCCCGACTGGGGATCCAGCCCGCAACCCGGGCACGTGCCCTGACTGGGAATCGAACCCCGATCGCCTGGATCCTAGGTCAACGCGTGAGCCACGCCCGGCCGGGCCGCCTGTCTTCTCCATTTCACCTAGTCTGACCTGTTCACTTCGCTTTCTCCAGCACCTGGGCCATCGTCGATGCTCTAGAAATATATGTGGGTGGGGCGAGTGGCTCTGAACCCTGAGCAGAGTCCTAGAAAGGATATAAATATTGAGCAATAAGGACTTAGAATCTTGTTCCTAAGACTATGCAACACTCTTTATTCTGCAGAGTATGTTCTCCCATGCTTCTTTGCCTGAAGGACATAGCAGAGACGGTCTCTAGCCCCACGTATAGTGGCAAGAACGTGGCAGTTCTCCGTGTTCGGCTGCGACACTGCACTGTCCTGTATAGACAGGCTTCTGTTCCCATCTTAGCCATGCCTTTTCCAAGAATACTCTTTTAAAAAAGTGAATATTAGGTATGTGTTATTTTTAATTACTGTCACTGATGTATGTAATTTGAAGATTAATGTTGCTGTAATTATATTGATATACTAAATAGTTATTCCCAGCTTTTTAGTCAGACAAATTAAGCCTGTCTTTATGAATTCATCTTCAAAGCCTCAACATGGTTAAGGAATCGGGCATATGCAGAATTCAAGCCTTTGTTCTGTGGTTAATTTAGCGTGAGTTAGCAAATGTAATTGATTTTTAAAATGTGGCATCAAGGTTAGATTTCCCTTCAAGGAGAGCTTTTGGTTTCTGTTCTCTCTCGGTAGAGGTTTCTAATTTATTACAGGCAACTCACTTGGGTCTCATTTGAAACTGGAATTAAAGTGATTGGTTTGGGGATGTTGAGAAGGAGATAAGTACTTTAAATAGGGGACATTCTCCTTTGGGACCCCAGGTGCTCTGATTATGAAAAACAGGTAAAGCCACTATCTTGTTTACTGTTGTATTTTCTGTACTCACCCTAGTACCTGGCCTGAAGATGCTCAGTAATGAGAGAGTGAATGAATGAGTGAAAAGTGGTCACTAGGAAACAGAACAGAGAAGTGAATATAAGCTTTTGATTTCTCAACTATTGAAATGGTTCACCTGTTTCTCTCACTGCCCTTCCTACTCCACTGTGGGCTTCTACTCCACATGACCCCACCCACACACCCCCTTCCCGTAGCATCATCTGGTTTCTCTGCTCTAAGACCTTCGGGTCCTCATTTCTCAGGCCAGGCCTGGCCTCTGTTGTTGAGCTGAATGTGTTACTCATGGGAAGTACTGCTGGCCTCTGATATTCCACATACTTGCCTGCACAAATCATCTATACCTCCACTGTGGACTGGACTGAACAAGTGAGACCAGGTGAGATGGAGAAGATAGCCAGCAAACTAATAAACGCAGGAATGACAGTTGCTACACAAAGGGATACAGAGGGTGCTGTGGGAACAGGACAAGGGTAAAAGGAGAGGCAGCGATGAGTTTGTAGATAATTTTTACAAGTTCAGCATACCTGGACCCACACCTCCTCTGACTTTCTGTTTCTGATGCCAGGCACTGTGGGTTATTTTGTAATATCTCATCTGCTTAAACCTCCCTTCCCTTCTCTCTCTGGTCTGTGTGGCTTGAAGTACCATCTACAAATGGATGGTTCCAGATCTCCATCTCTAGTCCAGATCCCTCTCCTAAGCTTCAGTCGCACACAGCTGCCTACTGGGCTCTCCAATGGGATGTCCCTCAAGATCTTTATCCTGGCCTACAAAACCCTGCAGGGTCTGACTCCTGCTTACCTTGCTGGGCTCTTTCCACCTCTAGTTCTACACTCCATTAGTACTGCACTTAGTTCCTGGAAGATGCCATCTTTTCTTTTTCCTTTGAGCTTCCATACATCCTCTGCTAGAATAGCCTTCCTTTCAGCACTCTTTTCTGGCCATCTACTGTTTATTCTTCAGCAGCTCAGACATCACTTCCCTGAGACCACTTCCTGCCCCCCCCCCCCC